CCGCTGGCCCGCCCCAGCCCGTGGGCTGCCTTGGCTGCGGCACCCTGACCCCGCCGCCGCCGCCGCCCCAAGCCGGCCCGGCCGCCGCCCCTCACACTTCCCAGGGACCTCTGGACGCGGGGGATTCAGAAGTGCCGCCGCGCGCCGCAGAAGAGCAACACCTACCTGTACTGCTCTCTGGCGGTGATGGCGGCCGAGCTGGGCAAGCTGGGGGAGGCGCGCTCCTGGTTCGAGGAGGGCACGCGCACCAACCTCGGGAAGTCGAGCTGCGCGCTGTGGCACGCATGGGCGACGATGGAGGCGCAGATTGGGGACCCCTCCGCGGTCAGGTGTGCGCCCTGGGCGGCTGGGAACAGCCAGGGGGTGTTGCACCGGGCCACCCATGGTCCGCCGCGCCGCTTTTTGGCGGCTCACGGCGGAGGATGCGCCCCAGCAGCCGGCGGCATGCCAAACGGGGCGGCCCTCGGGCGCGGCGTGCTGCCCCTGCATCCTGGCTTTTAGGGCCGCAGCTGCTGCCCTGCAAGCTTCTCATTCTGGGCCGTCGCACCCCCTGTTTCACCCCGCGTGTGCCCAGGTTCCTGTTCAAGCGCTCCCTCCAGTCCAACCCACGGTCGCGCTACGCCTATCTGGCGTGGGGCATGTGGGAGCGCCGCCAGGGCAACCCTGCCGCGTGCGCGCAGCTGCTCGCGCGCGGGCAGCAGCTCAACCCAGCGGACCCCGCGCTGTTCCAGGCGCGCGCGCTGGTGGCCAGGGAGGCGGGGCGCCACGAGGAGGCGCGCGGCGTGTTCAAGCGGGGGCTGGAGGTGGACTCGTCTCACCTGTACCTGTGGCAGGCCTGGGGCGTGATGGAGTATCAGCTGGGCAACCTGGAGGAGGCGCGGCGGCTGTTCCAGGAGGGGGTGTGGGCGGACCCCGGGAACAAGGACGTGGTCTATGTCTTCCAGGTGGGTGCAAGGCGGGTGTATGTGTGTGCGTGGATGTGTGTGTGCGTGGATGTGTGTGTGCGTGGATGTGTGTGTGCGTGTGTGTGTGCGTGTGTGTGTGCGTATGTTTTCGTGTTTGTGTTTGAATGCATGTGCATGCGTCTCTGGGCTTGTATGTGTGTGAGTCTGTACATGCGTGTCAGCTGTTGACTAAGGGGCGGGCCCGAGGTAGCTTCCTGCATGGGCTCGGATGGTGGCTGCCCCTTGACGGCGGCCAGGAAGAGAGTAGGCTCTGGTGACGTTGCCCTCGCTGCCGGCCGGGCCCGCCGCACCGCCGCACACAGCCGGCGGTTCCACTCCCACCCCC